CCCCCCCCCCCCTTTTTTTTTTTTTTTTTTTTTTTTTTTTAATTTTTGGTGCTGAGGACTGATCCCAGGGCCTCACACTTGCTAGACAAGCGTCCTATCACTGAGTTAAACCCCAGCCTCTATTCTGTTTTGATTTGGGTGTTTTTTTTCAGTCCTCAGCCTTTGCACTGTGCTGTATCCCTTCATATTTTTCATTTTTTATTGTGAGACAGGTTCTAAGTTGCCAAAGCTAGACTCAGAATTACGATTCTCTTACCTCAGCCTCACAGAGTCATGGAGTTACAGGCATGAGGCACCATACCCAGCTCTAACCTTTCTACCTTTTTATCATTCCTCCTTTCTATATCTTTATCTTCCCCCAAACTGGATGAACCAACTAAATTAACTTCCTCCCCAAAGATTCTGTTCTTCTCTCGGTCTCACCACTGATTCATCATCAATTTACAGTTCATTTTGCTTGCCTGCTTTCTTTACCTGGCTAATTCAAATTCCCCTAAGCATTCAGCCCAGATGTCACCAACCCAGGGAAACCTTCCCTGCCTCCCAAGGATTAGATGTCCCATCAGCTTAATTAGCTCCTTACCCTTCCCTTTCATCATACTGTTTTGTAATTGCTTACAGACTTATCAGTGCCTGAAATTAAAAGATTTGAAATCAGCATCATGGATGACCATTAAACTACCGACATTCTTCACTGAGCACATCTTTGTCAGCCATCTTGAGCACTAGTCTACCCTTCCAAGCCCCAGAAGCAAGTAAGCTCGGGCAAGTTGAAGAACATGATAGAGGTGCCCTTTGACATCAGTCAGGGAGCAGAGAACTGGTGAACAATACGCTGGTGAGTAAAACTGTCTGTAGTCAGGCACATCCTCTGAACCCAGTCATCTGGCTTTAATAGCAATTAGGCAACAGCAAAATTGAACATGTTAGCCAACGGCAAATATTGAATCCATTACTATTCCAAGTTATTGTTCAGATAAAAATAAAACACGAGGAAAATTTCAATTCTGGGCAAAATTAAATGAAGTCAAGTGAAACAAGAAGAGTAAGTGAACACCACTTTCCATGCATGGATATGAATAACAGGCGTTGGCTTGTTGAGTAACTGGGAAGGAAAAGGGCATGCAGGAATTCCTAGGATTGGGTCTCCTGTAGTGTGCTGCCCAGAGGAGCAGCAGGGCTAGCATCCACAAACATGACAGAAATGCAAATTCACGGCCCCATCCCAGACCATCTTGACCAGAAACTCCAAAGGCACAGTCCCACAATCTGAGTTTCACAAGTCTTCCAGGACATTCTTCTCCTGGCCAAAGCGTGGAAAGAGCTGCCCTAATTCATCATTAGAGCAACACCCCATGTTCACAATAATAGCTTCCACGAGACATTCTATGTGCCAAACCCCATTTCCAGTTGTTTATACATCACTTCACACAATGACAATACACAGTGGCATTCTCAATTTACAGATGAGGAAACACACAGACAGTGTCATTGTGTCTCAACAAACTACTGAAACACCTTGTTTCCCATGAAGGCAACTTACTCCAGAATCTTAGGACTCCTTGTAAAACCTTTCTCCCTCTTACCAACTTCATTTAATGGCTTCTCTGTTCCCCACCTCACAGTCATTTTGGATTCCCAGATAGTGTGAACTTTATACTCAGCTGAGATCATGCTTATACCAGACTTCCCCTATGCACTCACCTCCGTGACATAATTCCTTAGATCAGCAGCTCTCAATACTTCCTAGGGGAACACAAACTCAAAACTGCTTTTGTAAAAATACTAAAGCATATTTTCTTTTACTCAGTTGTCATTTGCATAAAAAACAATGGTAGGAAAAACGGCTAGCACCTTGGCATGAATTAAAACAGTGGCTTCAGATTTATTCATAGTTACTGTGTTCCTCCTGGTCATGGACCCCCAATAAAATAAATGCCAGCTTCAACTAACAGTGTTTTCTGATGAAGTAGCAAGAATTATCAGTTTTATAAGACCTTTAGTACATGAGCTTTTACTATTCTGTGTGATGAAATGGGAAAAGGCATAAAGCACTTCTACCATGTGCATAAGCACAAGGGTCACAAAGAAATGCTCGTAACTGTGTCAGTCATGAATTCAGTAGTTGCTTTTGTTGAGCACATTTTTTATTTGAAAA